TGCAAATTTGCAAGGATATTTAGTGGAGTCATATAAATGTTAATATATTAACATAGATGGATTAGATCAGATTTCATGCAGGGCTGCAATGTCAGGAATGTGTTCTCAGGTTGAGCATCTGTAACTTCAATATTCACACTTACCAGAGTGGGCCAGACTGGAGATCCTCACCATCCAAATTCATAAGCTACTGATATCCTTTTTTTTTTAATTAATACTGATGACATATCATTATTGCCACTGATATACTTTTGAAAGGCAATTTTTAAATTTATAACAGGATCTAAATGCTTTTGTCAACTGGATTACTTGTATCATCCAAAAATTAAGAAAGTTTAAGGATGCGAAAATTACTTTGCTAAATTTATGGTCAAATCATTTGTTTGGGTGCTGAGACATTTCATTCAGTCTGAGATTACCTGACAAACTACCTTCTATTTGTTTATTTTTTCTATACTGGTCAAACTATTCATGTTCCTCAAATACAGTGTTCTACTTTCTTAATAAAGAGAGAAGCATAGACTCTGTCCTGTGTTTTTTCCCCTAGATTTTGGAGACTTTTGTTTGTATGTCTTTATGACATCATTGACTTTACTTCAACAGATATCTATAAGAAGTAAACATAGTTTATTCTGATCACATTTTAGGACAGTTATTTCCTACTGACTTTAATGAAGTCACCTCACGTTGGTCATTAATTTGTTTTCACATCACATTTTAGGATGAGTTGCTTTGGGGAAAATTTTCTCATCTAAACTAACACCATCCCTAGCATTTGGATTCTTACTGAACTGAAATATCTTCTGAATTTTGTGTGCTTTTTTTCCTTCCTCTCATTAATGCCCCTAGTGAGAACCCACCCCCGACTGCCAATTTCAGAAATGGAATTATTTTTACATAGGTGATAAGAATGAGAAAAGGAAAAAGATAGGGCAGAATAACTAGGAAAAAGAGGACATGCAAGAGAACTGTTGGCAGAGGGGTCATCTATGCTGGATTTTCTCTTCTGTGCTGAGCAAGTCTGTCCTATCACCCACTAGAAGACTCAGAAGAGTTGATATATTGTGATTTATGGGGATAAAGAGTATGATATGGAGAAAAGACAGGTAAACATTAAGTCATTGTTTGTATAGAGGCCATAACATGAGGAAGCTGTGGGATTTATACACATTGCTTAATCCGCTGTTATTTTAGCTAAACCATAATAATCTCTTCAAATGAAAATTATTATTTTTCTTTCCTGGTTCACTAGTTCATTGTCAAGGGTTCTGTGTATTGCCAAATTGATAAAACAGTGTTAGGTAGCCTTAAAGGTCATATAAACTTCTCCTTGAGGCACCGAAACCTGTTTATCCAAACAAACAAATCCCAAGTTCACATCTCATAGAGACTGTCAGCATATTTTTGGCTTATAAAATCCTTCTCCTTATGGGCCTCCCTGGTGGCGCAGGTGGTTGAGCGCCGCACTGTGAAGCTATCCGAAGCCTCTGCAGTGTGGGTTCGATGCTGGCCAGCCGGTGATGGTCCCACGTGGTGAGGCAGACCTCTCCTGTCTCGCCTGCTGCTCCCCTCAGCAGTGTATTTCGTCAGTCTGCCTGTTCTGCTCCCCACTCTGTCTCTGGTGAGTCCTCTCACCCTCCCGTGCATCTGGCTGGTACCCCGTTCTTGTATAAATAAATAAATCTTAAAAAAAAATCCTTCTCCTTATTCTATATACAAGTCTAGTGTGTGCTCATCAGTCTGCTTCTCAGCCTTTCTTTTCTTATTCCTCTAATTATTCTTCTTTCCCTATTAATTCCAATCTTTTCCTGCCTATAGCATATGTCTCTTAAGCTTTCAAATATACATTTTTCCCATCATGAAAATATTCAGTGAAACTTTTTCTCCACCCCATCCCCATTTGCCACCCTGTCTATAATATCTTAATGTCAAATTAATTTATAACAATTACCCCCATTTCCTGGTTACCCGTTTTCTTGGGAGAACAGAAATCTTTTGCCTCTTTACTCTCCACCTGGTACAAAGTGCTCTGACAATCCTAAATATAGGCGCTCTGGGAGCTCCCAGAAAGGGCAAATCACCCAGTTCTGCAGATAAGGGTGGGGGCTGGGAGTGAGCTGTAAATGGAAACTACTAGGAGCAATGTTTTAGACAGACGATGAAGCGATAAAGGTGTAGGAAACTGTGTGTGCAGGCACTGAAAGGTGAGAAATAAATGTATATGCAATGATAGGAAGTTCTGACTTGAAGACCAGAGTGTGAAGTAGAGAGGAGAGAGAATTTAGCAGAGGTGCAATCACTCAGAGTCTTAGGACCAGAGAAGGCAGGTGAAAGTTTCGGACCAGGGGACTGCTATCTTTATATTTAGAAAAGCTGCAGGATGGAGAATGCACTGGAAAAAGGACAAGAACAGATGGAGGGAGATCAGCTACAAAGCTTTTCAGTAATCCAGGTGAGAGCTAATGGTGGACCAAATGAGGGTGGTGGTTGTTCAAAAGAGAGAAAAACAGGTCCAAAATGTATTCTTTCATGCTGGGCCCACCAATACTTAATACCTAACCAATTGCAGTTTTATCTCTTCCAAAAGTGAAATTTTAAACCAATCAGTCTGGAGTTTCCTGATCAGTTCTACTGAGGCAATGTATTTTTTTTTTTTGTACCATTGTTTTGCATCTTTATCAGTGTTCTGTCAGTATAGGATTTCCCCTCTCAGATGTAGTCACCATAGCACTCCCGCCACTAAGCACTCACAGTTAGTGAGGTAATCTTCATACAACTCTCCCTGCCCAAACTTCTCCTAATAAAAGATAGCTTTGCCTGAAGTAATGTTTGTTCTTCTTTTTTTTGTTGTTTTTAAGGATTTATTTATTTATGCATAAAAGATCTGGGATATAGGTCAAAAGTACGGGAGGGTGAGAGGATTTACCAGAGACAGAGTGGGGATCATAACAGGCAGATCGACTGAAATACACTGCTGAGGGGAGCAACAGGCAAGACAGGAGAGGTCTGCTGTGCCATGTGGTTTAACACCCTGGCTGGGGATCAAACCTGTGATACAGTGGCTGCGGATAGACTTAATCCTTTGAGCCACCAGGGAGGCCCTTCTTTTTTTTTTTTTTGTATGGCTAATAGCCTTATCCTACCCTCTTTCTAACTATAATGACCTCTCATTTTATGTGATTTTTTTCAGCACCTTTCACTTGCTAAATGGAATGCTGCCTGATTCATGAATCATCAAATAAAGTCAACAAGACCTTTAAAATAAGCTTGGTTGAATTTTTGTCATTTAATATGGCAAAGGAGATATAGAGTAGATAAAATAATAGACGAAATAGGCATTTAATAAACCTATATTAAGCACCTTGTATGTTTCAGTGAGTGCTGGCACTGGGATACAACAGTGAAGAAAATTAAAAAACACTTCCCCTGGAGTAGCTTTTACTCTAAGGGAAATGTAGACAATAAAGAAGGTAAGGTTTTGCTTTAAGGGTCATGTAGACAATAAAGAAAATAAGCCAAGAAGATAAGAAATGCTCTGTAACATAAATTCCAAGGAGAAAACAGAGTAGAGGGAGAAACGGAATCTTGTCGGTTATGGCTGTATAGGCAATTGCAGTTGGAGGTATGAGGTGAGAATATATGAAGAGATGTAAGGAAAAAGAGGAAACTAGTCAGGCAGATACCAGGAGAAGGAACATTCTAGCGAGGGACAGTAATGTATTGAGATGGGAACATGTCCAGTAGGTTGAAGAACATCAACCAAGGAGCAAATGTGGCTGGAGTGAACTGAAAGAGGAAGCAGATCATGTTGGTCCAGGATGTATCTCAGAGGTTGGGGAAGAGCACACACTGAGGCCAAGAAAATGCTTGCCATCTTCTCCACCCCACTTCCACACCCCCTACATGCCGTGGGCTACAACTCCCAGCATGCTATGAATAAGCCTTCTTGACTGTGTATTTTGGGAAGCGGGGGCTTGCTGGGAACTAAGAGTGGAACATGGTGGTCTGAGTGACCTTTAAAACCCTAATGTGGACTTCTGCAGTGCTGGTTTGATCCCGGCCGTCCTGCGACGGTCCCGCATGGTGAGCAGACCTCTCCTATCTTGCTGGCTGCTCCCCTCAGCAGTGTATTTTGTCAGTCTGCCTGTTCTGTTCCCCGCTCTGTCTCTGGTGAATCCTCTCACCCTCCCATGTATCTGGCCTGTACCCTGCTTCTTGCATAAATAAATAATCTTTAAAAAAAAAAAGAAACAACAGCCAAAAGCCCCCAAACAAATGATTGGAATAAGATGTGAATAGGGCATCCCTGTTAGCGTAAGGGGTTAAGCACTGCACTATGAAGCAATACACAGCCTCTGCAGCAAGAGTTCGATCCCCAGCCAACCAGAGAGTAACCCACAGCAGACCTCTCCTGTCTCGCCTGCTGCTCCCCTCAGCAGTGTATTTCAGCCAGTCTGCCTGCTCTGTTCCCCGCTCTGTCTCTGGTGAATCCTCTCATCCCCTGCATCTCTGGCCTGTACCCCAGCTGTTGTATACATAAATAAATAAATCTTTAAAAAAAAAAAGATGTGGAATATATACACAATGGAATACTATTCATCAATCAAAAAAGATAAACTTATGGCATTTGCAGCAACATGGATGGAGCTGGAAGGGATCATGCTCAATGAAATAAGAAAAAGAAAAATATCAAATGGTTTCACTAATAGGAAGAATATGAAAAAATAATAACAACTAACAATAAATAAATAAAAAAATGAAAGTAACAGGTGACTATAAATCAGGGACATTCTGCGGGGAGAGGGAGGGAGAGGGAGCAAAGGAGGGGAGGAAAGAGCACAAGGGACTATGGTGATGGTGCACAAGTGAATTGGTGGTGGGAATTTTACAGGGACTACACCTGAGAGGAGAAAGCAAATATTGTACAACAATGAACAATGATGTAAAATTCATATAAATAATTTTTTTAAAGATTTATTTATTTTATACAAGAACCTGGGTACAGACTAGATATGTGGGAGGGTGAGAGGATTCTCCAGAGACAGAGTGGGGAACAGAACAGGCAGACTGACGAAGTATACTGCTGAGGAGAGCAGTAGGCGAGACAGGAGAGGTCTGCCATGCCATGTGGGTAGCTCCCTGGCTGGGGATAGAAGTTGGCTGCAGTGGCTGGTGATAGCTTGCTAGTGCTGATATATTAGCCCCTTGCTCCACTAGGGAGGCCGTTTAATGATGTTTTGGAAAGCAACATTTTTGACTCAGATATGTATTTATATAAACTAAAGTTGACCAGTAACAATTGTATTTTGATTTTTTAATAGCAAAGAGAAATTTATTGTAAGAATGACATCTTCTATTAAATTTTCTTATGTTATAGTCTTAGTATGGCCTTCCTTAAACAGATTATCAGATGAGCCTTATAATCTGAGTGGCACTGATGAGAAGACTTAATTTGTGAGTTTAAAATAGTACCTACACATGTTAAATTAATATTAGTTTCTGCTTAAAAACTGGATTAAAATATTTTACTCTGAAATTTCTGTATGTGGCTCATTTGCATTTCAAAAGTGTATGTTTTCTGAGTATGAATTTTGAAAATATTTTTCTTTAGTAGAAGCCCCACCTACTTATTTTTTTAATTTATACATTTCATCTTATAGTCCCATCTCAATGAATCTCACTCATGTCCAATACATTTTAGACACTAAAAAAAATACATTGCTTAAGTCATGTTCAAGTCAAAAATATGGAAACACCAGAAGTTTAAGTTTCATCCATTTTTTTCATCCATTTATTATTGCCACTTATTGGTGCATTATCCCAATTCTCTGCTTCAAACCCCATGATACAATAATTCTTGCAACATGTGTCCATTTCTAGTTTACTTATGCTAAAATGTTTGGCATTGGAATGTGAGGTATTTGTCAGGAAACAGAGTGGATGTGTAGGATGAAATGTTCAAGAATTATTTCTTACATCAATGAAATTCATTATGATATGCCACAAGGTAGAGTCCTTGCGTTTAGAGAGCTTGAAGTTTCTGTTTATAGGTAGACTAGAACAGAAAAGGTACATTATATAAATTTTAAGTATAACTAAAAATAAAAAATCTTAAACATTTCTAGTACAAATTTGGAAAGCCATAATATGAGTCACACAATCTTAGAAATTATAGTAAAATTGTTCTTTTGCTCTATTTTCCATAAGGTCAATTCCTAAGATATTGCTCTTGAAGAAATTAGCTTTTAGCAACAGAGTAAGTGGTACACAAGACTGCCGGAGCCTCAAAAGATGATACCAAAAAAAAAAAAAAAATATTTAGGAATGTCAGAAGTTCAAACATGAAAATTGTCAATAATATTAGATGAAGTCAATTGAAACTTGGTAGATGAGTTTTCAAAAAAAAAAAAAAAAGCACTTATTGCCCTTTATCTTTGTATCCAATAATTGCATCAAACTTAACATTGATCCTTCTTTTTAAAATTGACAGGAAACGCTCAGGAAAGATCCTAAAAGAAAGATACATGAAAATAATTAGGAAATTGATATTAAGTGCATTTGAAAAGCATCATTTAGCATATTTATACTTATCATGCATCATGTCCATACTTATATTAAGTCATATTAATAACTACCTGGGTGACTGCTATATGTTCCTTTCAATTAAACCTATTTCCTTTTCTTTTTCTTTTCTTTCTTTTTTTTTAAGGTTTATTTATTTATGCATACAAGAGCTGGGGTATAGGCCAGAGGTGTGGGGGGTGGTTGTGAGAGGATTCACCAGAGACAGAGTGGGGAACAGAACAGGCAGATCTACTGAAATACACCACGGAGGGGAGCAGCCAGACAGAAAGGTTTGCTGTGCCATGCAGGTCAGCTCTCTGGCTGGGGATCAAACTCGTGCTGCAGCAGCTGCAGATCTCTTCATAGTGCTGAGACTTAACCTCTGTGCCACCAGGGAGACCCCCAAACCTATTTCCTTTTCAAAAGGAAGGTTTAACCTTTTTTTTAGGGTATGAGTGACCTTCAATATTTAGATTTTGAAATATCCGTACTCCGGTATTTTTCAAAAGATTTAAGAAAGAAACTGTATAGGACTGAATAGTTGAGATGCCTAAGACTTTAAATTAAAAAAAGAAGAACGGGCCTCCCCGGTGGCGCAGCGGTTGAGCACTGGGTTGCAAAGCTGCCCGCACCTCTGCAGCGCCGGTTCGATCCCCGGCTGCTCCCCGGCCACCGGAGGAGGGTCCCACATGGCGCACAGACCTCTCCTGCTCCCCTCAGCAGTGTACCTCTGTCCTTCTGCCTGCTCTGCTCCCCACTCTGGCTCTGGTGAATTCTCTCACCCTCCCGCGCTTTTGACTGTACCCAGTCCTTGTATAAATAAATAAAAAATAATAAAATCTTTAAAAAAAAAAATAAAAAAAATAAAAAAAGAAGAAGAAGAAAAAAAGAAACCTGGTATTGATTGGGAAGGTAGTGAGAATAGAAGTTAACTTTATATACTCTATAATCCAGAACACTATCAAAATATTCCATTGAGAGACTGGGGGATTGCTAAGTGAAAATGCAGGTAACAAATTTGGTTTTGAGCATAATGCTGAACAAATTACTTAACTTTTGAGTTTAAATTTCTCACATGTGAACAGAAAAATTAACATCTACTCTACAGCTCTTGTGAAGAATCAATTTGTTTATATAAAATGTCTTAAACAGTGATGGGCACATAGTAGGTATAATCTTTTTTTATCCTTACTGTATACCTAAGAATATTCAGAAACATGTAAAATTCTGAAGACTCTGAAGACACTAATCAGAAAAATAACTATATACAATCTGCCAAGATGATATTAATATAAACTTTGGAAATTAAGCCAACATTTACAGCCTGAGGAAAATTAAGGCAATGATTATAATAGTGCCAAAAACAATGATATGGGTAGGAAATAGTGGTATAACATTTGTTGAATTTTTATACAGTACTGGATTTTTGAAATGCATTTATTTATTTATTCACAGCCTTATAGTCACATTACTGTTTCCATGTGACAAATGAAGAAACAGAACTTTAAAGAAGTTAAAAAACGTCATCCATGTTCATTCAAACAAGTCACAGAAACACAGTTTCATCTAATGCCAGAACAAAAATTTGGAGTCTCTATGTTAGAGGTCTAGGAAATAGAATTATTTTTTCCAATGAACATTTTTGGTGTCTTATGTATCCACCTCTCTTTAAAGTGCAGGAGTCAGTGATAAAGAAAAAGTACATTTTTTTCCCTTCAGTTACATTCTAAAGATCTTAATCATTGAGTGCTTAAGAATAATAATGCTAAATGCCACACAGGTTGTGTTTATGCACCTAAGAAACCCTTGAGCTTTGCTGCGTAAATTTCTAAAGAATGTTCAACTATAGTTCCAGCAGAAGGGGCTTAAAAGGCCTGAGACGTGTCACTTTGCTTTGACCACTTCAGTTGTTTTAAGTCTCTAGGTCAGTAACTCAAAGTATGACTTTTAAAGCAATTGTCTGTTAAAATATAGATTTCTGGGTCCCAACCCAAACATCCTATAAGACCAAATTAGTGGTTACCTAAAGGGGAGGGGGAAGGGCAGGTGAGTAAATCAGGTTAAAGGGCCAATTGTATGGTGGAGGATAAATTTGGATTTTTAGTAGTGAATTTAATATAGTGGTTAATGTAATGTAATATATTCACAGGTTGATTTGTAATGACACACACTGAAACTTACATTATAATGCAATGTTATGTCAATAAAAATTATAAAAAATAAAAACACTAATAATAAAATCTTTAGAGGCGAGGTCTTGGAATCTTTTTTAAATTGACTTCCCAAGTGATCCTGAAACCTGACTCTAAGTGACATAAAGTTTTTTTCCCCCTTGGTCTAAAACACCTCACTACCTGGCCAGCCTCCTGGTCATATAGCTTCCCAGATGAATAATGAGGGAATATATTATGATGGGCATTCTTTAAACCAGTGGTTCTCAATCTTGGCTGTACATGAGAATCACCAGGACAGTTATTATATATAATTCCTGGAAATCAGACCACACTCTGGACCAATAAAATAGAAATCTCGGGGAACTGGTTTCAGGTATCAGCATTTAAAATCCCACATGAATTCTAACATGCATTGAACTTGAGTACTATCACTCTAAAGAAGTGTTTCTCAATTTTTAAATGCATACGAATCATCTGTGGATCTTTTTAAAGTGCAAATTCTCCTCAGAAGATGAGAAGACTATTTCTACCAGGTAATGCTGATGCTGTTAGACATGGATCACATTTGAAGTAGCAAGATTCAAGGATCTCTAAGTTATAAAGGATTATTTAGCAATTCCTATGCTTCAGTATTATTTTGCACAAATAAGAGTTCAGATGATTATCTGTTATATATACATATTTAAAAATTTAAATATATATAAATATATGTACATATATGTTTAAAATTAAGTATATATATTTAAACATATATATATTTTAAGATCTTTTTTTTTTTAATTTTTGTGTAGAACTGGGATGTAAGCCAGAGGTGGGGAGGTAAAAGGATTTACCAGGCAGAGTGGGGAGCAGAACAGGCAGAACTGCTGAAATACACTGCTGAGAGGAGCAGAAGGTGAGACAAGAGAGGTCTGCTGCGCCATATGTGGGTTATGCTCCCTGGCTGGGGATCAAATTCAGGCCATGGGGGTGACAGCACAGAAACTTAACCCCTAGGCCACCGCAGAGGCCCTATTTTTTTTTTTTTATTATGTTTTACCTTCAAACATATACTCCACAGAAGTGGAGTTTCTGCTGTATATTTAAATAAATATATAAAACCTAACTATGGTCTCTTCCGTATTACTGTCTTATGCTTGCATTATGTAAATGCTTAAAATTATATTTACTCATATGTATTTACAACAAGAGTTCTAGAAATATACAGCTTTCTTTTTCTTAAAAGAACTCAAAATCTGTGGAAATTATTTCAGTTCATTTACCTAATGGATTTGTGAATCTTACTTCAATGATTAACATTTGTGGTTTTAAAACTGATGGAAACTTCAAGTCTATTTTTTTTACACTTAATTTAACTGTACTTTTATCAAATGCCTAGATCTAAATCTTAGTAAAAGCACACAATAGATAAATCTCTATCAACAATGCTAACCGACCTAACTGTTGCTTACCTTTCTACCAGTAAGAAAAAGCTTAGAAAGGATGGAACAAAAATAATTTTCTGCTCAGTCAGGATGCCATTCACCAGCTTGTTGACCACTTCCTCGGGTTCCAGAGTGGGTCCCAAACTGAAATCAGAAGCATTCTTCAGAAACAAAACATTTCACTGGGGCTTCAACTTTAGTTTGATGTTAAACAAATAAGTCAAATTGCCTTAAGAACCATAACACATCTGACTTACTGTAATGTCTAGCCCATCAGAGATAATCCAAAGTGGAAGCTGCTTTAGCCTTAATAACACGACCAACAGCCATTTATTTAGAACTTCACATCTACTGTACTCCATGCTAAATATTCCTCATGGGAGTTTTACAAGATTCTGAGGGAGACACAATAGTTCTTATTTTGCAAATGGGACCTGTAGAAGGAACTAGACTCAAAATAATTTAGCCAAATTAGGACTGACAGATTCACTTTTACATCTTGAAAAATTTTGGGAAAGAAATCAAATGCCATTATATAAATTGTATTAGGTCTTGATTTAATTTCAGCTTTGTTTTTTAGTTCCACATTACATTTTCACGTGTTGTCACCCTGGTGTATGTACCTTTGATAACTAGGTGGTCCTTACAAAGGGGTTTCTGTTCTGGGGCTAGATTAAGTGCACTGAGGATGGAGTTGAGTAAGAGTTGGTTCTGAGTTTTTTTAACATTTTATTAATGACTTAGAAAAAAGATACACTATTAAATACACTGATGAGATTTGACAAAGTAACCAAATTGTTTCATTGACTAATAGTTTGGGGAGACAAATTGTAAATGTATTTCACTAGTAAGAGAAATAGGACCAAAAAAAAAGTTAGAGGAGATTCTTTAGGGACAAATACAGAATAGTTCATTCAGAAAGAAAATAAATATATGCAGTAAACTTGGGACAACTAAGAACTGAAATATTGTACTTACATGTGAGCATGACAATGGATGTATAGAGAAAACAGAGTGTAAACTATGTATGATGTAGTATTTCTTTCTTACCATAAGTCATTTATTAGAAAACTGGTGTTCACTCAGAATCTGAAGCAATAGCATTACATAAGGAAAGCTTGGAGATGTGGCAGGAAATATAATAATGAATCAGATGGCTTTTGGCCCAAAGACAATGGGTAGCAAGGAGGATAAATCCAGAACATGAAGGATGCTTGTGCCTTGAGAAATGTTCAGAGGGAAATTGACTAAGCAGCATATTTCCACCAGACTTCAATATTCCCAAGCTCCAAGAAAGCTAACAAACACCTGTTTTAAACAGCATGGCAAACCCCCTTATTCACACTGTGGGCTTGTTAATCTATCAAGCAAATGTTGTTGCACTGACTGAATTCCCCTTAGTTTAAACTTAGTCTAAAGAGAATGCCTGATCTCTTTACCTAAAGGTCTTAGCCTCTGTCAGAGGAATTTCTTTTCTTTTCTTTTTTTCTTTTTTTTTTTTTTGTGGGACCCTCACCAGTGGCTGGGGGTTGAACCGGCGCTGCAGAAGCTGCGGGCAGCCTCGCAACCCAGCGCTCAACCACTGCGACACCAGGGGAGGCCCTGTCAGAGGAATTTCTTTTTAAAGATTTATTTATTTTATGCATACAAGAACTGGGGTGTGGGCCAGAGGTGTGGGGGGTGAAAGGATTCACCAGAAACAGAGTAGGGAGCAGAACAGGCAGATGTACTGAAATACACTAGTGAGAGGAGCAGCGGGCGAGACAGGAGAGGTCTGGTGCACCATGTGGGTTAGCTCCCTGGCTGGGGATTGAACTAATGTTGCGGTGGCTGGTGATAGCTTGATAGTGCTGTGCCTTTAACCTATGTGGCACCAGGAAGGCCCCCATCAGAGGAATTTTCATTGAAATTTAATGGCTGTTCAATACCATGATTTTTAAGGCCAAAAAAGAAAAAGCTTCCAGGAAAAAATTCAATTTTCTAGCAGAACATTAGTATGCGGAAATATATTTTTTTCTTGAAAAACTAATGTTAATGAGTGTTGTAAATCCTATAAAACAGATGTTCATAATGGATTTTGTAGGAACTATTAAAAAAGCAATTTGGACCAATCTCTTGTGGGTAAGGAAGGAGAAGTATGTGGGGGCAGAGTTACTTAAGGAGAAAGAGTGTTTTTATGTAGAAGGACTGTATTTGATTGTCTACTTTGCCACTTACGTAGCTGAGTAATTTTGGAGAAGATATTTCTACTCTTTAAGGTTCAGGCTTTTGTTTTTGTGTTTAATGTAAATAATGGGGATAATGCAATAGCATGCTGGTGAATTTTGAACAACAGCCCCAGCAGGGAACAGAATACTAGTTTTGTAGCATTTTCCAATTTTTTTGGTAGCTTCAACACCATCATGAATTTAAAACTACAAACATTGCATCACAGAATAAATACAAGTTGGCTTTAGCACTCCACTACAAATGTGACAGTTAAGTGGGACATTTACATAGAAACAATATACACAACTATTTTATGCAAATATTACTTGTCACCTTCTTATATAACAGCTTCTTTTTATGGTATTAGTTAACAGAAATATCTTTTTATAGAAAACAAATTAAATTTTTAGAGAAAGAAAAAATTATTATGTTATAAGAATGTTCGGTAAAAATAATTCTAGGCTGTGAGAAATTTAATCAGAGTATCCACTTATACTTAATCTCATAAGTTTATTATATTATGATGCATTGAGAAAGAGCTAACTCACTTGGGAGAGAAAACAGTTAATTAAAATTTATTCATGTACCTAAACTAGAGCCCCAAAATACAGGAAGCAAAAATTAACAGATTGAAGGGAGAGAGAGACAGTTTACAATGAATTGCAGACATTAATCTCACTTTCAATGATAAACTGAACAACTAAACAGAAGATCAGAAAAGAAACAAAAGGCTTGAATGACGTTATAGACCTAACAGCATCTATAGAACACCCCACCCAACAACAGCAGAATATATAATCTTCTCAAGGGCACAGGAACATTCTCCATACCACATACTAAACCATAAAACAAGTCTTGGTAAATTTTAAAAGACTGAAATTGTACCACGAATGTACTCTGAATACAATGGAATGAAATTAGAAATCAATAACAGAAAGAAATCTACAAAAATTCACAAATATGTGTATATTAGCCAATGGGAAAAGAAGAAATCACAGGAAATTAGAAAATACCTTAAGGTGAATAAAAAAACACAACATATTGAAATTTATGGGATTCAGCAAAAGCAGTACATCAAGAGGGCTAAATTTAACAAAGAAGGAGATAGATCTAAACAATGGAAATTGTCAGAAACTATTAACAAATTTAGAACAAGACACAGGGACATGAAAAGATATCCCATATTCATGAATGAAGAGGATTAATATAGGCAAAATGACCATCCTACCAGAACCAAAATATAGATTCAATGCAATATTTTTCATGGAAACACAATAATACCAAAATTTATATGAAAGCACAAAAGATCTGGAATAGCTAAAGCAAATTCTAGAAAAAAGGAGGAAAATGGAGGCATCATGTGACCCAACTTTAAACTATATTACAAAGCAACAGTAATTAGAATAGCATGGCTTTGGAATAAAAAGACACAGGATCAATGGAACAGCATCAAGAACCCATAAATAAACCCATACATATATTGACCCCTAATTTATATCAAAGGAGCCAAAACTATACAATGGAGAGAAGAAAAGCTCTTCAACATATGATGTTGGTAAAATTGGACTGTCACATGTAGAATGAAACTGGATCAGTTTCTAAATCCAAAAAGAAAAAAATTCAAAATGTACTGAAAAATCGTGAGATCTGAAGTCATAAAATACATAGACGAAAATAGAAAACACAGTCCATGACATCAACAACAATTGTTTATGGAAACTCCACCACAACTGCAAGGAAATGAAAGCAAAAATAAACAACACATCCAAGAGGGGGGTTCATATGCAAAGTATATAAAGAACTCATCTAATTTCAAAACAAAAAGACAAAAAATACAATTAAAAAATGGGCATTCAAGATCTGAATAGACACTTTTCCAAAGAGGATGGAGTGATGGCAGCAGACACATGAAAATATGTCCATTAACATTCATTAGGGAAATGCAAATAAAAACCACAAAAGGTATCATTTCATACATGCAAGAATGACTTGCATCAAAAAGATTGCTAAAGAGGACCGATTAAACGCTGTTGGTGGGAATGCAAATTGGTGCAGCCATTTTGGAAAACGTGGATCTTCCTCAAAACCTAAAAATGGAACTGCCATGTAATCCCCCTTCTGGATATCTATTCAAAGAATATGAAATCACCAAACTTAATGAGTTGTTTACTGTAGCGTTATTTATAATAGCTAAGATAAGGAAACAACCTAAGTGCCCACTGACTGATGATTGGATAAGGAAGAATGTGGCATATACGCACAATGAAATACTGCTAAGCTACTGGGAAAGATGGAGTTTTGTCAATTGGGACAAAATGGAAGGAACTCAAGGGGGTGAAGAGAAGTGAAAATAGTCAGACTTATATGTGCAATGTCAGGAGACAAAGCAGATGAATGAATAAAACAAAACAAGTGACATTGAAAACCAAAATGAGGTTACCAGAGGTGAAGAGAAGGGACGGGATTAAGCCAAGGGGGCATAACAAATGGTATCAGATGTTTTGTTTTTTTTTCTTTAAAAAAAAACTCATAATTTTACTATAAATCTATTAAGAATAAATCTATTACCATATAATCCAGCAATTCCACTCCTAGGTCTACCTGAAGAATACAAAAGAAATATATGCACACCTATGGTCACTGAAGCACTATTCACAGTAGCCAAATTGTGGAAGCAACAGTGACCAAAGACAGATGAGTGAATGAAGACAGATGAGTGAATGAAGACACACAAGTATGCATGCATTGTACGCATGAATACTATTCAGCTATAGAAAAGATCAGCTGCTGTCACTTATGTCAACATGGGTGGAACTGGAGAGGGTTATGCTAAACGAAGTAAGTCAGAAAGAAAATGACAAATACTGGATGGCATCACTCATACAAAACAGTCAGACAACTTCAGGGCCTCCCTGGTAGAGCAACAGGTTAAGACGTAACCTATGATGCTATCTGCACATTCTGCAGCACGAATTTAAGCCCTGGCCAGGGAGCTACCCACATGGTACAGCAGACCTCTCCTGACTTGTCCGCTGCTCCCCTCAGCAGTGTATTTTAGTCAGTCTGCCTGTTCTGCTCCCCACTCTGTCTCTGGTGAATCCTCTTTACCCTCTGCACCTCTAGCCTGTACCCCAGTTCTTGTATGCACAAATAAATAAATCTTAAAAAAAAAACAACAAACAGTCAGACAACTTAAAACCAAAACCTACTACAGGGGGAGGATGCAGAACAGAAGAGGACGATGCACAGTGGACTGTGGTGGAGGACTATGGGTACCTTAGTAGTGTCGTGACATATCCCGAAGAGATAACATCCTGTATTTCTGAATCATATACAGTGTTGTAAACCAATGTTACCTTGTTAAAAAAATAAAAAAAAAATTATAAAAAAATAGAACTAGGAATTTTAGGGCAGTTGGAGTCAGAAGCCTAGGTAGGAATTCCAGTCTGCCACACCGAAGCAGTGTGACATTTGATGATTTTTGTAACTTCTTCAAGTTTCATGTTTTTTGTTCCTAAAATGGATACAATAAATTTGTCTTGTAGAATTGTTATAAGGATAAGAACAGAGGTAGGCAAACTTTGGCCTAGATGCCAAATTTAGCTTTGACAGATTAGAAGTTACAGGTATCTAGAACCAGTAAGGTATTTGGTATTTAGTAGGCCTTCAATAAGTTCAAGATATGATGATTTTTTTTTAATTTTTTTTAATTTTTTTTTAATAGAGGCATGTTTTTTTATTTTATTTGTTTGTTTGTTTTGTTTATACATGCACTGGGTACAGTCAGAAGCACGGGAGGGTGAGAGAATTCACCAGAGCCAGAGCAGGGAGCAGAGCAGGCAGAAGGACCGAAGTACACTGCTGAGGGGAGCAGCGGGCGGCAGGAGAGGTCTGCACGCCATGTGGGACCCTCCTCTGGTGGCCGGGGAGCAGCCGGGGATCGAACCGGCGCCGCAGAGGCCGCGGGCAGCTTCGCAACCCAGCACTCAACCGCTGCGCCACCGGGGAGGCCCAAGATATGATGATTTTTTGATATGAAAACATATCACAAAAATAACTCTTTAGCCATCAAAAAGAAAAAAATTCTCAGTATACCAGATTATTCTTTATTCCAATGAACTCAGATCATGCTGCATTATAACCCCTAGAGTAAACCAGCTTCTTTGCAGTGTATTAAATGTGTAAACATAGAGCCAATAACCCACATCTTCAATGTGTTTAAAGGGAATTTAAGTGCCAATATTAATATGATACAAATTATTTGTAGTCAGTCATTCAGAGATTGGTTTTGGTTTCCCACTTTCAGAAAGTTGACTGCTGTGTAAAAAGGAAAAAGTTGGGTCTGAAATCACAGTTCTGCTGCTTAAGGGCAAGTCCCTTGACATCTAAAAGCAAAGTATTTTTGAGAGGTTTATAGATTTTATTTAGTGTCCTAAATATAAACTAGAATAAGATATCTAACCTCTAAATTAGAATTAAATTTCTAGGTGAAAGCTAGCTTCACTTTTGGCATCCACTCCAGTGCAAGCTTATTTTAAAGGAGTTCATGTGGCAGGATTAAGCTTCAGACTCTTGCTTAGCCAGGTTATAGCAATATGACTAGGTTAGAATCACTCCAGCTTCTATTTATTTTTACTTTGCACAGCAAGTTTTATTTTTTAGATGTACTATTAGAGCTCTGCCAGGAGAGGGCACTCTGCCCACATGAAGGTTAGCCTTGTGCAGCCTTGTTCTAGGGCAACGCTAAACAATTCAATTATAATCTTTAAATATGGTGTCTATTTTTAACTGCTGAAAGGCTGAGTGAAAAACTTTCACTCAGACATATTCTTTTAGTATGTAAATCCTGAAAATAATGGAGGAAACAGGCAAATTTTATTCTCAGGGATAATGCACCTCCTTTTGAAACACACCTCCTTTCACTTTTAGTAAACTTTTACAAAAATTAATTAATTTTTGAAATATAGTACCACATTTTGTAAATATAAGGGGCACGGTGTTTTGACACTTTTTTATATTGCAGTATAATTCCACCATAGCATTAGCTAACACCTAAGTCATGTGTCATAATTATTTCTTTTTTAGTGTGTTATGAGAAAAATTAAGATGTAGGTTTTTTAGCACCTATAATATTTATAATACAATATTGTTGTCTATAATCACTATGTAGTGCATTAGAGTTCCAGAACTTATGTATTGGTTGCTAGCTTGTACCTCTTAAATAATAACCTCAACCCCTTAACCCTGAGTAACCACTATCCTACTGTTTTTGTGCTTGGCTTTTTCAGATATGAGGGCTATCGTACTGTATTTGTCTCTGACAGTTTTAGTGAATTTTTTAAAAAAAGATTTATTTTTATTTATTTATGCATACAAGAACTGGGGTGCAGGCCAGAAGTGCGGGGAGGTGGGAGTGGGTGAAAAGAGTCACTAGAGAGAGAGTGAGGAGTAGACCAGGTGGATCTATTGAAATACACTGCTGAGGAGAGCAGCATGTGAGAGAGGAGAGGTCTGCTGTGTGCCATGTGGGTTAGCTCCCTGGCTGGGGATCAAACTCATGATGCAGGGACTCATGGTGCAGTGGCTGGCAATAGCTTGAAAGTGCTGTGACTTTAACCCCATTTTTAGTGAGTTCTTATCCTCTTTTTACTCCTTGCTCCCACTCAGTTCCACTCCTCAACCCAAAATTTATGTTCTGTCTCTAGGTCTTACTTAGAGTTTTTCTTAGTTAAAATGGATGAATTATCTATATTATCTGAAGTAAATATACTTTTAGGACAATTTGATAACTTCATTGGAGACGAGATCTTTGGACAGTTACCACATTTCAGGCTAATGTTGACTTTACTATCTGGAGGGGTGGGTGACTTAAGATTAAGGTGTATTTAAATAGAATTTGCTATCTTCCCATAGCAGCCACAGAGAATATTCATTAATCTGTAATGCATTTTCATCAAAAGCAGACAAAATGGGGAAAAGAGTGGGAAAATTTAAGAGAGGAGAATAAAATTTAGAGATTGAATTTCATCAGTGTAATTGAATAAAGAACCCAGCATTAGATTCCATTAAATATGCGAATTTATTATAAAGGTGACTTTTCAAGTCAGTGGAGGGAATGATAATTGATTTCATAAATAGTGCAGCAACAACTCATTAACCATTTGGGGAAAACAATTAGCTCTACTTTGACTTCTTAAAGTAAATTTTGGTGCGGCAAAGATTTATAAGTGGAAAGTGCAACCACACAAGTATTAGGGAAAAAATATGGTAGATATTGTAATAAGCTTGATAACTTTACATTCAGTAAAACTCTATGAAAGGCTGAAGGGGAAAAAAATCTGAGAAATTTTAATGTAAAACTCAATAAAAATAAGTTAAAAGTCAAATACAGAGAGAATTATATGCAACATATACAATATAAAAAAAAGGATTATCTTGAATGTACAAAGAGAACTGTAGCTCAATAGGAAAAAAATGGGTAGAAGCCATAAAACAGGAAATACACAAAAGAAGTCAAAAGACCAAAACCATAAGAAAACACTTTAATCTAGGTGGTTAGTCATCAAAACAAGAATAAAGATGATTCTTTGTGCATGGAAATAACATAAAAGATGAAGCAGAAAACATACTGGTGAAGAAGTGAAGTTGTTCTTCTTTCACTGAGGACCGGAGTTAGAGAGGAGCAGTACTTCCGGGAGAAGGAATACTAAAATTTTTGCATAACCTTTTGACCTGTAATCCCTCTTCTGGATCTACCTGAAAGAGTTTACCCAAATAGGAAAATATCCATTCACTAGATGTCCATTATAGCTTTGCTGTGTTAAAGATTACCAGGGGATACTCTGACTCAGGCCTGGTAATTCAATACACTTTGACAAGTTCTGCATTTATTGACATGCAAAATGTCCATGACATAATGCTGGGAGAAGTAAGCAATTTACTTACTATGCTTCCAGAAACCCACATATAATATTACATCAGTTATATAACATTTAAAAATACAATTTAAACATAAAGGGGTGGTCATCAAAGTGATAAAAGTAGCTTGAAACAGAAAGAGAAAATTTGGAAAGAAACTTTACTGTTTTCATATGTTAGAGTGTTTTTTTTTTTTCAATTATGCATCATAGATACATTAAAGCTAATCCCAAGAGATAAAATATTAAAAATTAACAATCCTTGAAAATTTTACTTTGTAATTAAGGAAAGACTATGGTCTGGTGTTCATTTTGGAGAATAATCTCTAGATCATCAAAAAGAAACTGTTTTTCACATTGTGACTTTGGGTTAGCACTGCCAGAATTAACTATGATGGCTGTTAAGCGAAGAGTTCTAGGTCCTTTTCCCCACCACTATCCTATCCCAACTAAACCACAACATTTCCAGTGGGCCCCCAACATGGTTCCCAAGAAGTACTGGTGAAGTGTATGTATCCTGTACTTGTCAGAGAACAATTGCTTCGGAGAAGAAAAATGGGAGGATTAGCAAGTTCACCTGTTATTCATATTTATATTTACATAAATGCTCCTACTCTTTTTGTCTGTCCACCTGCTTTCCCACAACCTGCAGAAACTGAAATTGAGATGTGCTAAAGGCATTGAATATCATGTGTTTTAAGGATTAGCTATTTTGGAAAACCCACAGAATGGTTGATATTCACAGCAGTCACCAACCTTTGTCTCTATTTCTGTCTCAACTTACTTGGTACTTGGATTTTTGATGAAGCCAGTGTTTATGAAATTAGGACAGAGACATGATGTTTTGATTCCAGTTTTTTCATAGGCATTCAGTTCTGCAGTCAAAGCTTGATGAAATCCAACAGCAGCAAATTTGCTTGAACTGAAAGTAAACAAAAAAAAAGTCACAAATTCAAGAAAGCTACTTAATTCAGACGCCTATTTCCCTTAGTCAAGTGTTAACCTCTGCCCATAGCATGGCAGTGTGTATGAATATTTAAAGATTGAATTTCATCAATGGAATAGAATAGAGAACCCAAAAGCAGATCTTAGTAAATATGTGAATTTATTATAAAGGTGACATTATCTGAAATTCAGGGCCCGGCCCAGCCCTAGTGAATCAGAATCTGCATTCTAGTGGATAGTCCGGTAGATTTCTGACATGGAACATTTACTGTATTCCAGCTTCGTTTATCAAATGAGAAATAAAGAGGTTTAAATGTCTTTTTTTTTTTTTTTTTTTTTTTTGTGGGACCCTCACCGGTGGCCGGGGATTGAACTGGCGCTGCAGAGGATGCAGGCAGGCTTGCAACCCAGCGCTCAACCTCTGCGCCACCAGGGGAGGCCCTAAATGTCTTGCTAGGAAAATGGGTAGGGTGTTTTTCACTGTGCTGTTTCCATAAAAATTTAATGTGACTGTAGGCTGTTCATTCTTTACTGTAAGCTCATGGAATTCACGAATGAATTCTAGAACTTGGACATTTAAAAGCATTACTGTGCTTTCCCCACCTGCTGGACTTGGGGTTGAAAGGTCACCAGTTGGGAACTGCCACCACAGGAGGATAGCCTGTCTGAGATTTTAATGACAGAGCCCAGAATTTCTGTTTTGATCTGTGGCAGTTTGAGTTTTGTGTTCGTGCATCTGGAATGACCTTACAAATAAGTTACCCAAAATTAATAGATACATCAAATAAATAGTGACACACTGAAACAGCGGGATATCATGCAACAATTAAAAATGATATTGCATGTACACAAAAACAAATTACATATTCATTTTATTTATTTATTTATTTTAAAGATTTATTTATTTATACAAGCACTGGGTACAGTCAGAAGTGCAGGAGGGTGAGAGAATTCACCAGAGCCAGAGGGAGGAACAGAACAGACAGAACGACGAAATACACTGCTGAGGGGAGCAGAGGGCATGGCAGGAGAGGTCTGCGCGCCTTGTGGGACCCTCGCCGGTGGCCGGGGATCGATCCGGTGCTACAGAGGCTGCAGGCAGCTTCGCAGCCCAGCGCTCAACCTCTGCACCCCAGGGAAGGCCTGACATAATCATTTTTTTTTTCTTAAAGATTTATTTTTATTTATTTATACAAGCACTGGGTACAGTCAGAAGTGCGGGAGGGTGAGTGAATTCACCAGAGCCAGAGTGGGGAGCAGAGCAGGCAGAAGGACCGAAGCACACTGCTGAGGGGAGCAGCGGGCAGCAGGAGAGGTCTGCGCGCCATGTGGGACCCTCCTCCGGTAGCCAGGGAGCAGCCGGGGATCAAACCAGTGCTGCAGAGGCCGCGGGCAGCTTCGCAACCCAGCGCTCAACCGCTGCTCCACGGGGAGGCCCCTGACATAATCATTTTAAATAAACAAAAATTAAGATTATGGTGCAGATTTTTTTCAATGTACTACTACAGATCTGTATTTTAAATGCCCTAAAAATTATAACCAATGCTTTTTATCATGGTTGTTTCTTTATGGTGAGATTATCAACAAACATTTTTCTTTCTTCTTTACTAGACTGCATGTATTTTCAAAAATTTTCTTAAGTGAAACAGAAGTAAGGGGGCATACTTTTGTATGTTAATGATCTTGAGTATGTTAAAGAAATATTTAACTTGAAGGTTAATTTTCATATAGACATGTAAATGAAAGCTAACAGTGAGTGGATTTTTTCTGCACTTTACATCAAATTTTCAATTAATATTTTGAATTATTATTTCTTTTTTGAAATTATTCTTTTAAATAACATTTCATTACAAGCTAATGATCAGGGCTCAATTTTGCCATGTCTTCCTTCACCCGTAGTTTTAATGATTATAAATTAGTTATTTGAGTTGACAATATTATGTTAAAGGAGTGTGTGACACCTAATTGTTTTCTTTTTAAAATCTAAATATTTTTGGACAAAATACTTAGCAATACTTAATGACAAAAAACATTTTAGAATAGAATCAAGAGATTAACCTCCCTCAACATGAATCCAGTTCCTCCATTTTTTCACCTTAATAATTAAAATCAGTATTAGAGCTGTAGTTTATTCTTACTGTGGCTGCAGCAGTTCTGCACAGTGATAGCTGAGGACTGGATTATAGGAAAAATAACCAGGTATTTTTTCCCTTTATTTCATTCTAACAATCAGGAGCCAGAACATATAGATGATTAGTTCTGGGATGACGCATTCTGGAATCTAAATGACAGGGGAACATTACTATTTTGTGTGAATACAGGGAAGTAAAATACAACGCCAGACACTCTTCTGTTATTCGACATTTGCAGGATTACAGATTCTATGCTAAGTGCATTAGGGTATATGATTTAAACATTACAGAATCTCGATGAGTTCCTTAGTTGCCATGTTTAATCTGTTTTATGGATGAAGAAAATAAAGCACAGAGAGAACTTGAGTAACTTGCCCAAGATCACATAAAGTTAGTAAATGATTGAGTTCAAGATTCATAACATCGGGCCTCCCCGGTGGCGCAGCGGTTGAGCGCTGGGTTGCGAAGCTGCCCGCAGCCTCAGCGGCACCGGTTCAATCCCCGGCTGCTCCCCGGCCACCGGAGGAGGGTCCCACATGGTGCGCAGACCTCTCCTGCCACCCGCTGCTCCCCTCAGCAGTGTACTTCGGTCCTTCTGCCTGCTCTGCTCCCCGCTCTGGCTCTGGTGAATTCTCTCACCCTCCCGCGCTTCTGACTGTACCCAGTGCATGTATAAACAAAGCAAGCAAACAAACAAATAAATAAATAAATAACATGCCTCTATTAAAAAAAAAAAAGTTTAAAAAAAAAAAAAAGATTCATAACATCATTATTCATAATAATCCTATCCTGGAAACAACCCAGATGTCCACAAACAATAGTACCAAATAAATTGCTGTCTAATCTCATGAAACAAAACCACACAGGCATGAAAAAGATGAAATGACAGCTGCCAACAACATATGTAAGTCCCACAAATACTGAGATTTCATTTATCTAGAAATCAAAAATAAACAAAATATAAGGTATTACAAATCAGTAGAGGGGTTACTATTGAGAAAGAAAGAGAAACTGGAATGGGAAGAGTCCTAAAAGGAGTTTTCTGAGGTCTCATAGGTTTTATTTTTTTGACCTGCATAGTGGCTAAACAGATGTGTCTATTTTGTGGCAACTCATTGAGCTGTACACATGTGCTATCTGAATTTTTTTAAATGTGTGTTATACCTCAATTAAAAAGTTTATGTTTAGGGCCTCCCCTGGTGGCGCAGCGGTTGAGCGCTGGGCTGCGAGGCTGCCCGCAGCCTCTGCAGCACCAGTTCGTTCCCCGACCGCCAGCAAGGGTCCCACAAAAAAAAAAAAAAAAAAAAAGTTTATGTTTAGGGCCTTCCTGGTGGCACAGGAGTTAAAGATAGCGCTATCAAGCTACCCACCAGGGAGGTGACCCACATGGTATAGCAGACCTCTCCTTTCTCGCTTGCTGCTCCCCTCAGCAGTGTATTTCATTCAATCTGCCTGTTCTTTTTTTTTTTTAAGATTTATTTATTTATGCATACAAGAACTGGGGCATAGGCCAGAGATGCAGAGGGTAAGAGGATTCACCAGACACAGAGCAGGGAAAAGAACAGGCAGATCTACTGAAATACACTGCTGAGGGGAGCAGCGGGTGAGACAGGAGAGGTCTGCTGCGCCATGTGGGTAGCTCCCTGGCTGGGGCTCGAACTCATACTGAAGAGGCTGCGGACAGCTTCACAGTGCTGTGTCTTAACCCCTTGCACCTCCACCTGTTGTGCTCCCCACTCTGTCTCTGGTGTATCCTCTCACCCAACACACCCCAGTTCTTGTAGGAATAAATAAAGAAATCTTTGGAAAAAAGAAAAGAAGGAACAAGGGAGAGAAAAAGGGAAGGGAAGGAAGGAGGGAGAGAAGGAGGAGGAGGGAAGGAAAGAAAACAGATGAACAAAAAAAAAAGGGACAAAATAAAGCCACTTGTCTTATTACCAAACAATAGATATGGTTAGAATAAAACAATGGTACATATCCTTGCAAACTCTTTAAATACAAGATTATCTATCTATCTAATAAAAATAAGTTACCCACCCATGCCTATATCTATTTATGCACATATTTATAGCTACATGTACAATTATATCTGTGTTGTTTCTAGAATTTAGATAATTAATTCCCAAAGTACACAATGGTAGAAAATAAATCTGAGCATTACATTATTGCATGTATATTTATTTGCACAATGGTAATTCAACATTTTAAGAGTTATTATTTGCTAAAATGTAAAAATGGCCAAGAATTGTTAGAGGGTGTGCGGCAGTAGATCACCTTGGCTACAGGGCCTCACTGATTACTTCTGTATAACATATGGGAGAGCACAGCATTACCGCACCCTATGTACTACTGCAAGCCTTTCACCCATTAACATTGGCATGGGTTTCTATTTCATTGAATAACTGCCATCTCATTTAAATTATGAATTTATGTCCCAGATGCTTACCATTTGTCATCAGTCCCTTCTATCATCCCATAGTAAATGAGTATTATAATGTAGAGCTTTCAAAGGAATGTAGACATAATGTGAAATTGTTAGAAAAGAGTTTGGTTATGTTTCATTGTTTTGATGGCTTTAATGTTTAAAATCTCAGATTATACTCTTTTTACACTGTTTTCTTTCCACAAAATTACCTTATTAAAGATTATGAACATTAACTTTTGTTCATAGTACAAAAATATTGCTATGGTTTTGTAATTCCTTGCTGCTAAAGGAGATGAGAAATGCTTTAAGTGGCTGACTCTGAATTTCCCTGCAGCCACCTCTAGAATTATCAACCTAGAGGACAAGTAATGGTTGATAATTTTACTGTACAAGACACAATTTCAGCAACTTCAAGCCTATCATCATTATTGGTAGTCCACATTAGACAGGATAAAAATAACACAAGTTAAGCATAGGAACCAATGAAGGAAGACCATGTTCACTTACCAATAAGCCATTAAATAAGGGACCACAGTATGCCCAGCTGCTGAAGCCACAGTGACAATGTGACCATGATTATTACTCATCATTGCTGGAAGAAATGCCTTTGTAGTCTAAAATAGTTTCATTAAAACAGAAAAATGGTTATTTTTGACTCAAGCTCATTGGGAATATTTCTATAACAAAGGTGTATTTGCTAAGATCATTCCTGGCTGAAATGAGAAAACCGAGATTGACAGTCAATGTGGCAACATAAGGAGCTGGAGAGATTGCCCAGATTAGAAAAACCAAGCGAAGCAATTGATGCTGAGAGTTTTGAGAATTCATCTCATTTAAATAGTGGATTTATGCCCCTGGTTCTATCTTTTGTCATCAATATCTTCTATCATTTCATATTAAATATGTATTATAATCTAGAGTTATTAAGAGAATTTCACTTAATGTGAAATTGTTAGAAAATAGTTTAGTGATGTTTCAAAATACTGAAATGAACAGTCTTCCAGTAGTCATTGAATGATTCATGCAATAAATATTGAGCACTTACTATGTCCTGGGGATTCAGAAACAAGAAAATACATTTGAACAGAGGCAGATAAACAGCCAAACTCAAATCATAAAAATACAAAGACAGTAACAACACCTGAAGAGTGTGTGCCTATGCCTCTAAATCCTACAATAGTGTAAACCAATGGTACCTCAATTTTAAAAAAATCAATAATTAGAAAAAATGCAATGACAGATGTGAATAATAGGGATATTAGCATAAAATAATGCTGCTTTTTAACCAACCTTCCTATCTTTTTGAGATCCGTCATTCCAGCTTACATCTAAGAAAACTTTGAGGGACCATTTCAGGAACTGTTTATTGGACAATATTCAAAAACTCTCATTGTCTTTCTACACCTGCATCTATCTATTTAGTATGTAAGACTTTGAATGGTGAGACTCATAACAAAGTTTACAATTCTGTGGCCATGAGTCTCACAAGAATCTGAAGCAAACTGAGTTCACCTTTTTATATAAATCATAGAAGATGACTTGGATGATCTCTAAGTTCTTCCTTTATCTCTAAACTGGACCACCCAGAGTTGTGAGACACTATTTTAGAATTAAAATATATAATACTTGAAGGTTATTACTATTTATTAAAGTTTTTGAGGGGGAGGGAGTATGATTGGTGGATTTAGGTTGCAGTATGTAAATGATCTCTTTGGGGTCCTCCCTGGTGGTGCAAGGGGTTGAGATGCAGTGCTATGAAGCTGTCCACAGCCTCTGCAGCACAAGTTCGATCCCCAGCCAGGTTGGTGATCCACATGGTGCAGCAGACCTCTCCTGTCTCGCCTGCTGCTCCCCTCAGCACAGTATTTCAGTTGTTCTGGCTGTTCTGTTCTCCACTCTGTCTCTGGTGAACGCTCTAGCACCCCCAAACCTCTGGCCTGTACCCCAGTTCTCATATGCATAAATAAATACATAAATCTTTAAAAAAAAAATAAAAGGATCGCTTTGGTTGTTCTATCTGAATATCCTTGGAGAAAACTTTAACTTATATTTGCTATGACCTTTATGTCCACTAAAAGCTCACTTTAAATTTAATCTTCAGGTTTCACAAAAGTGTTTTGTAAAACAAATCAACTTACCCAGAAATGTGCAAGTACATTAACTTCAAAAGTCTTTTCAATCTGAGGGTCTTGTGTAGCAAACAAATCTGATGTGTACACTACACCAGCATTATTTATTAAGATACCAACATCTCCAACTTCTGTCTTCACCTTCAAAAATAGACAAGAACCATGTGTATTCAATGATTAGTAAAGTATGGATTTTTCTACTAGAGGTAGAAAAGTAATACAGTAAAATATATGCCAATATAGAAAAAACACTTTATTTATTTATTTATTTATTTTTTAAAAAGACTTATTTATTTATTTATACCAGCACTGGGTACAGTCAGAAGCGCGAGAAGGTGAGAGAATTCACCAGAGCCAGAGTGGGGAGCAGAGCAGGCAGAAGGACAGAAGTACACTGTTGAGGGGAGCAGCGGGCGGCAGGAGAGGTCTGCGCGCCATGTGGGACCCTTGCCCGGTGGCCGGGGATTGAACCGGTGCCACAGAGGCTGCGGGCAGCTTCGCAAGCCAGCGCTCAACTGCTGCGCCACCGGGGAGGCCCTAGAAAAAACACTTTAACTTTAGTTAATATTAAATCAGCATTGCCTGTAAGTTTACTAGGTTGAAATTTTCTTTTGCAATTAGTCTCTTGACTTTGCTCTATTGATTACAACCAAGAGGCATTTGGTTAACAAAAACAACTTATGACAAATAAAACTATTAATCATTTAAAAGATAAGTAGGGGCCTCCTTGGTGGCGCAAGGGGTTAAATCTCAGCACTATGAAGCTGGGGGCAGTCACTCAGGCCACTCAGCAAGAGTTTGATCCCTGGCCAGGGAGCTGACCCACATGGCCCAGCAGACCTCTCATGTCTGGCCAGCTGCTCCCCTCAGCAGTGTATCTCAGACAATCTGCCTGTTCTGCTCCCAACTCTGTCTCTGGTGAATCCTCTCACTACCCTTCACCCCCACCACAGTGGCCTACACCCCAGCTCTTGTATGCATAAATAAATAAAATAAATATTTAAAAAAATAAAAAAGTGCTTATTAGTTTATTGGTCTTATTTTGGACACATTTAGTTTGAGGTTTGAGTAGAAATCTGAGCTGTTGTCAGGCAAGCAAGTGGCAAGCGAGGGTGGGAGCTAGGAAAGTGTCCCCAGCTAAAGGAACTAAAATGGGAGAGTTAGAAGGTTCTGGGATTAAAAGAAATCATCCCTTGCCCCTCTGGGTTCTTCTGGCTGACAAATAATCCAGACAGATTGATAAGAGAAGAAGCAGTAAAGAAGTTGAATAATCACATGTTTACTTCCTGTATTCACAGGAGAGACCCAGCATGCCTGGGTGACCCATCAGGTGGCTTTAGGTGGCATCTTAACTAGCTTAACTAGAAGAAGGAGGTTGGGGAAGAAAGGGAAAGTCATTTAGGGCACTTACTGGGGAAAACAATGGTACTTCTGCCTTCTCCACAGAAGGGGATTGGCTCTTCCTAGACAAGACCCTTTCAGAGAGTTTAGCTACAAACATCAAGAGTAACTTCCACCCAGCCTTCAGAGTCCCTCTTCATGACAAAGACAAGAAAGTTCTAGGTTGACAGATTTTTGCTCCCTTGCAGTCTCAAAAAGTTTCATATTTCAGAAGTTGTTCAATTATTTCATAGAACCAATCTTCAGTCCTAAGGGTAGATCAAGTCCAATTACACAGTTGTGAAACAATTTCTGGGGGCATTCCTGGAGTTGATCCCAAGTTAAGCCTATATGGGGTCAAGAACTTCTATGAAGGGCCTCCCCAGTGGCGCAGCGGTTGAGCGCTGGGCTGTGAAGCTACCCGCAGCCTCTGCAGCGCCGGTTCGATCCCCAGCTGTCGGGCGAGGGTCCCACATGGTGCGCAGACCTCTCCAGCCGCTTGCTGCTCCCCTCAGTGTGTATTTCGTCAGTCTGCCTGCTCTGCTCTCCCCTCTGGCTCTGGTGAATTCTCTCACCCTCCTGCGCTTCTGACTGTACCCAGTGCTTGTATAAATAAATAAATAAATAAATCTTTTAAAAAAAGTGTTAAAAAAAAAAGAACTTCTATGAAAACAAGCATTTAATTTTTTAATACCACAAAAAGTAAGCAAAAAAACTGGCAAATGTAGGGACTATCATAAGAAACTATATAAAACAGATTACACCTTAAATTGGCCATATTTATTTTTTTTTCGGTTACTCCATTCTATTGCCCACCAAGCTTTATCGGGTATTAGTAGGCTTAGACACCAGAAACACGAGAATATCTCATTCAATAATTTTGTGCATTTTTGAGATGCTAAATGTCTTGGAGGATGAACCCTAGAGTTACTATGCATTTTGTTAGATTTACTGTTCCAAATAAAGGTGAACTTCTATTAATATCATTATTTAGACAGTGCTTGGGTGTGTTTGGGAGTTGGCAAATAGCCTTAAAAGCTTTCCTTGTGCTACACATTTTATCATTTATCATTTAATTCTCATAATTCTAGGAAGTAGCTCATTTAAAAAATGAGAAATGTGAAACAGAATGGCTAAGTCTCTTACCCGAGTTCACATGGATTAGGGTCATATGCAGCTGAGACTTGCCCAGATCTTCTGACCTTAGAACTCCAAACAAGCCTCAAACTTTAAACAGAAAGGAAGCTCAGGGCAAAGTCCCATCAACATACCTGCAGGACTTCAATGTGCCAGTGCAGAAGGCCTGTCAGCCTGAATTGAGTTTCAGTGTCATCAACTTGTATTTGAAATGTCAAAGAGTCAAGCTAAGTTAGTTGGCCCTATTTTACATAAATCCACATCTCTAGCACAATATGAAAATTGTTGTTCAGAATAAGACCCTTAAGTTACTGAGAAAAACCAAACATTTTGCACTGTGGAATTGATAAAGCTGAAGTAATGCCTCTAAATTAATATGGCTCAAAAACACTGTTTTAAAGTGCGGAAGAAATTGCTCAGACAGCGCCTCCCTGATGGCGCAAGGGGTTATGCATAAATAAATAAATCTTAAAAAAAAAATAGAAATGGTCAGACGGTCTAGATCCCTTGCTTCATATTTGTCTATCCATGGTGCAAATAAATGTCTTACTTGCTTATTTCTTTTCTTTTTTAAATTTTTTAAAGGTTTATTTATTTATACAAGAACTGGGATACAGGCCAGAGGTGCTGGAGGGTGAGAGGATTCACCAGAGACAGAGTGGGGAGCAGAACAGGCAGAACGACCAAAAACACTGCTGAGAGGAGCAGCGGTTGAGAGAGGAGAGGTCTGCTGTGCCATGTGGGTTTTTACCTGGCCGGCCGGGAATTGAACCTGTGCTACAGTAGACAGCTTCACAGCGCTGTGCTCAACCCGCTGCACCACCAGGGAAGCCCTGACTTATTTATTTCTTGACAGTAAAAGCAAGCCAAGAGTTTGTTTAGGTGGCATAAAAATGTTGTGATACCAAAACAGCCACAAATAGGTATTTGAGAATACAATCACATTGATGTGTATATTCTAAGCATGTATTTATCTTAGTACAACTTCATTAACAACAATATGTTAAAATCATGAAATTGGTTCAAATAATAAAATAATCTTTTTCAGAAAAGCTTATTCCCAGGTGAATCAAGAAATGAATATTTTCCATTCAGGTAAGTAATGGTGTGGGTTATAGATCTTAACTTTAACAATGACTAATGACACAATTATACAGATAGTATTGGTAATTCTATTATAATACTAATAATCAATTTTTACAAAGTGATCGGTGTGTCAGGTATTGTTCTAAGAACTTTACATCATTAACTTAATGTTGGGTATCATTATTGACATTAAAAACTAAGCCCTCATGTCTTGCCCAGCAGACAAGTTTGGGAGGCTTGAATATATAAAGGGAACGGATAACATTGTTATGGGAACCAACCCCTCCTCTTGACCATAAATGCGGAAGCACACTTAGGACAAATGCTGTGTCAAAGGTCAATGCCAGACAGAAACCAGACATCCCAGCAGATAACTGGTGCAAACTGGCACCCCAAATAAAAAAGCCCACAGGAAAAGACTATTAAAGGGCGCCTCAAATCCTCCTTCCCACACAGGTAACTTCCATCTCGCCCCCTGCTCCCCTGTATGATATTTCAATAAATTTGCCTTTTCTACTCTCCACTCTGTTTCTGGTGAATTCTTTCACCCCCATGCCTCAGCCTCACTCCAATATTATTCTGCCACATTTAATTAACCTTCTTAACAATACTATGAGGTAGGGAGGGTACTTCTGTGACGCATAGTTTTATAAGTGAGGAAACTTAAGCCTCAGGAGGTTAAGTAACTTGATCAAGGTGACATTGCTAGCAGTAACGGGGAGGGCACTCCTCTTTGCAAAGGACAGTCATTGCTGTTTTAAGTAAAATATTGTTAAAGGCTGGTTATCACTTTCCTCTAGGCCTTGCTCTCACTGTAATCCCTCTCAGGAAAGCCATTTCCCACCACTGGCCTGTGTAAACTTCTACTTACTCTATTGACTTAGCCCATGCTTCACTAATAACAATAATTTTGAAATTAAAGATTAAAATTTAAAATTAGAATTTAATATAAAATTTAAAAATGTCCCTAAACCTAAAATTCCCAAAACAAAGCCGTTCTCGGGGCCTCCCTGGTGGTGCAGGGGTTAAAGTCAGTGCTATCAAGTTATCAGCAGCCACTGAGGCATGAGTTGGATCTGGGCCATGGAGCTACCCACATGGTGCAACAGACCTCTCCTGTCTCGCTTGCTGCTCCCCTCAGCAGTGTATTTCAGTTGTCTGCCTGTTCTGCTCCTCGCTCTGTCTCCAGTGAATCCTCTCACCCACCCGCGCATCTGGCCTGTACCCCGGTTCTTGAATAAAATAAATAAATCTTTAAAAAAAAAAAAAAAAGGATGAGAAAAGCTTTTAAAAAAAAAAAAAAGCAGTTCTCAAATCTCCTTGAATCAGAACTTTTACTCTGGACTAAATCAGAATATGTAGGAGTGAGGTCCAGGAGTATGTAATGGTTATGAATTTGCCCAGATCATTCTGTAGCAGTGTGGTACTCATAGAAAGAGGAAGTTTCAGGTTCCCTGCCCCATCCAAAGAAGGGTAAAGCTGAGCAGTGAGGAGAAGCTAGAAAAGGCTGGGAAAAGGAAGGAAAGAGAAGATTAAGACCTGGAGGATGCACGTGGAGCAAAGACATGTGAAGAAGAAGCTGCACTCGCTTCTTGGCCTTGCATTTGTGCCAGGGATGTGGGGGACATGGAAGGAGGAGACACTTGAAAGAGACAGAGACGTGGGTGAAGAGACCCCTGGGGAGGCTGACAATGGCAGCCTTTGCCTTAACTTGTATTTTGATTTTACTCCTTTCCTTCCAGACTTGCCAGGCCCCTTCTGCCCCTTTCCTCTGGGTCCTCACCAGAAGGAGCCTTTGACTGTGGCAAGCTTTCAGGCTTCAGTGACCCCACTTTGGGCCAACCCTGTTTGCCAGGGCATTTACCCTTGAGGGGTTGGGTAACTTTGGGTGTTTAACTGGAAACTATTTTAATTATATTCTTTCTCTTCTCTCTATTGCACACTATTTCTATAAAAGTTCCTTTCATTGGTGGTCTTACACACTAAGAATATGTTTTGTTTTTATGCAGAGGATGGCAGAACCCATTTAGAAAGCAGGCAGTTTTGGGGGTGCGGGGGTACCCCTTATTCTGCCCACTAAATTCTACTGACCTTCTTATTGTGATACTATTTAGTTAATGAGTGCATTCATAGTGAAACCCCTTTTTATATACAGCACATCTTAGTTTTATATAGAATAGATAAATGATGCTTTATAGAAACAGAGCTACAGTTAGACTTATACTTGTTTCAAAGTCCAGAACTTTAACTGGTTTCAGAAGAACCTGTCAGTGACTCTGCATTGTTATCTAAAGAGTCACCTATTTCAGAATCAGATGAGAGAGGTGTGGGTTTCCTGCTAAACATGCCGACTGCTGGGACCAGCACTTGAACCAACGAAGAAAACCTCTGGGGCCAGAGGCCACATTTTTATTTATTATTTTTAAATATTTATTTATTCATTTAGTAGAAGAACTGGGCTGGAAGTGTGGGGCATGAAAGGATTCCCCTGAGACAGAGTGGGGAGCAGAACAAGTGGATTTACTAAAATATACTACTGAGGGGAGCAGCGGGGAGACAGGAGAGGTCTGCTGTGCCATGTGGTCAGAAGCCTGGCTGGGGATTGAACTCAGGCTGTGGCAGTGATAGGACTGAGACTTAACCCCTAATCTACCAGGGAGGACCAAGGCTACATTTTTAAGCAAGATCCCTTGAAAATTCTGGAACACACTAAAATCTGAGAACCTCATTTTGAGATTGTGCCACTAGCTATTTGCACACCTTAGGCAAATCACAGATATTCTAACAATCCTGCATCATGAACAGACTGAAATCCCTCCCAGCTCTGTCACCATACCAGTCTAAACAAATGTAAATATTCACCTTCTTGGCGGAAGTATAAATATCTTCACGGTTACTGCAGTCCACCACATAGGTATGAGTTTTGGCACCCAGTCTCCTGCATTCAGCAGCTGTTTCCTCAATTCCATGCTAGGAAAAGCAACAAAGAGGCAAGAGAATAAAATTAATGAAATAAGTATATTCAGATTCTTTATTATTTTTTAAGATTTATTTATTTATTTATTTGTTTATTTATTTATTTATTTATACATACAAGCACTGGGTACAGCCAGAAGCGCAGGAGGGTGAGAGAATTCACCAGAGCCAGAGCGGGGAGCAGAGCAGGCAGAAGGACTGAAGTACACTGCTGAGGGGAGCAGTGGGCAGCAGGAGAGGTTTGCGCGCCATGTGGCATCCTCCTCCGGTGGCCGGGGAGCAGCCGGGGATCGAACCTGTGCTGCAGAGGCTGCGGCAGCTTCGCAACCCAGCGCTCAACCGCTGCGCCACTGGGGAGGCCCTATGCAGATTCTTTAAAGTTAGAGTGGGCGGTGATTTAATTGACACATATTTTTACAAGGTGACAGGCACTTTGTTCTCAGTACTTTTACTGGCTACGTCAGCTGTGGTATCATTAATAAAGGTAAAAGCTAAGTCCCTACTCCTCACAGTAGGCAAATTTGGGAGGCTTGACTGGAAAGGAATAGGTGAGGTTGCTATGGGAACAGATCCATCACTCTGCCCTTGAATGTGGAAGCAGAGTCAGGACACATTTTGTGTCAAAGGTCAAGGCCCACAACCAGACATCCTAGCAGGTAACAAGTTATAAGAGACCTTCAAATCCTTTTCCAGTGCAGACAACCTCTCCAGTCTCGGCCACTACTCCCCACAGCAATATATTCAATAAATCTGCCTTTCTTGTTCTCCACTCTTGTCTCTGCTGAATTTTTTCACTCCTGTGCCTCCAGCCCTCACCCCACTTTCCCTACTGCAACTTCTATTTGGAATTGAATTTAAAGCAATCTTTTTTTTTTTTTTTTTTTTTTAAAGATTTATTTATTTATTTATTTATACACGCACTGGGTACAGTCAGAATTCACCAGAGCCAGAGCGGGGAGCAGAGCAGGCAGAAGGACCGAAGGACACTGCTGAGGGGAGCAGCGGGTGGCAGGAGAGGTCTGCACGCCATGTGGGACCCTCCTCCGGTGGCCGGGGAGCAGCCGGGGATCGAACAGGCGCTGCAGAGGCTGTGGGCAGCTTCGCAACCCAGCGCTCAACCGCTGGGCCACCGGGGAGGCCCTTAAAGCAATCTTTAATAAAAATAAATACATATGTGTGTGTATTCCTGATAAGACTTTAAAAACAAAACAAAATGAAAAAACAAAACTTTTTTCCTGGGTCAAGAAAAACTCTTCATGGATTTTCTAGCTATATATAAATAAATGCATTAACTACAGTTTGTTCATTCATTCGCTCATTCCTTCAGCATTTTTTTTTAAATATTTATTTACTTATTTATACAAGCACTGGGCAGTCAGAAGCGCAGGAGGACTTTGCCAGGAACTGGTGGAGGAGGATACGGAGACTTACAGAGCATAAGCTTGGGTTGATGATGAAAGAGCTGTTAAATGGATAGTAGAGATGATTGCATAACATTCTGAATGTACTTAAATCATATTGGCAGAACACTTAAAAATGTTAAATTTTATGTTATATATATTTTACCATAATAAAAAACACCTAATAAAAGTATTCAATATATTGCCTGGATTCTTTAGGTCTTCCATTTATAAAATTCAGTGCTTTTTTAGAACAAAATTTACAGTAATTTATTTTTCATTTATCCCAATTTCCGAGATTTTCTTATTAATGATTGGCTTCCTTTTTTCAATGAACAATGTACAGAGCAAAGTTCTCCTTCCTCTATACTTGTAATCTCACTTTCGCCCAATTTCCTTGATCTTAGATCCAAGGTCTACTGTCTTCTGAACTGTGCAAATATAAGTTCTATCTCCTCTAGGAAAAGTTTTAGACAGCTTCCATAGTCACTTGATAAGAAATAAAAAATAAGCAGAGTTTCAGGAGGGAAGGAATTCTTCCCTTAAACATATTCTCAGCATGGTGGATTTTTCAGCACTTCTCACAATTCTTCAAGATTTCCTCTGATAATTTTTCTCCAATGTGTTGGATTCACTTCTCAAGCTGCACTCCTTTCCTTTTATTCCTTGCCCTCTTCTACAACTGAAACCTTTTTGCCCATTACTTAGATTATTAAACCTTCTGATTCTGTCCATTACTTTTTGCAATTATTCATTAATTCACTTTTCATTCAATAGTCTTTGAGTATACATTATGTGTTCAGTATTTACTGTAAATATATCATTCTGTTACAGGGCATGGAGAGGGGCAGCCCAAACCCGCAAACCTGCCTATTCTATATAGGGTTCTGCCATCTGCTGCATCAACACAAAACATGTGAGACTTTAATGGGAAGGAACTTTAATAAAACTAGGAAACAATACAGGAAAGGCAAAGAGTCTAGTTTCTAAATGAAGCACCCAAAGTTACCCGTCCCCTCGTGGGTAAAACTCCATCCAAATGGGATTGGTCCAGAACAAGGCCCCAAAGCCTGCCACAAGTCTAAAGCATCTTCCAGTGGGGACCCACAGAAAAGGGTCAGAAACAACCAGACAAGCCCGGAAGGAAAAGAGCAAAATCAACATCAAGATAAAAGCTGCCATTGTCACCTCCCCTCGGGTCTCTCACCCACATCTGTGTCACCCAGTCCACGACCAAAAGACAAGTGCAGTTTCTTCACATGTCTCTAGGCTCCATGTGCCTCCTCCAGGTCTCCTTCTGGCTCCATCCTGCTTCCTTCCTTCCTCAGTCTCCTCTGCAGCCTCTTCTCTCCCTGCTCAGCTCCACCCTCCCTTGGGTGGGGCAGGGAACCTGGAACCTTCCCCTTTCCTGGGGACCACCCGGTTACAATTCCAAATTTATTTAAAGAGGCTTGGAAGTGAGAAGGGACATTGCTATTCTCATTGAGTTTATCTGAGAAATTATCTTTGGGGACAATTTGTCTTTGTAATTTTGGTAATAAAAATGTGATCTGGCTCCTTCTTCACCCTCCAGCTTCCTCCTAAACCAATCTTACGTTTCCTTCACTTTCTGGCTCATTCTCCAATTATGTACCTGTCCAAGGAATTTACTTTTCTGGGTTCTTCTGCCTGGATTATTAGGAACCCTACTCTTTTTACCCTTTCAGATTTAGTGCATCTCAGATTTTCATGATTTTAAAATATGTAAAATTCCAAGAAAAATAGACTGGCATATATATACTGATGTGGGACTTATTTGACCAAATGAAGTCATTAAAAACCAATATAACTATTTCATTAAAAATATATCTTATCGGGCCTCCCCAGTGGCGCAGCGGTTGAGCGCTGGGTTGTGAAGCTGCCGGCGACCTCTGTGGCGCCGGTTCGATCCCCGGCTGCTCCCCGGCCACTGGAGGAGGGTCCCACATGGCGTGCAGACCTCTCCTGCTGCCCGCTGCGCCCCTTAGCAGTGTACTTCACTCCTTCTGCCTACTCTGCTCCCCGCTCTGGCTCTGGTGAATTCTCTCACCCTCCTGCGCTTCTGACTGTACCCAGTGCTTGTATAAACAAAACAAACAAACAAACAAATAAATAAATAAATAATAATAAAAAAAAATGTTTAAAAAAAATATATATATCTTATCCACAAAAAATAGTAAGGACCTAAAAGACGGATTATTTAAATAAAGAGCTGTTACCTTAACAAAACTTCACTGCATTGTCCTTAATTTCTTACTACTTTCCACTAATTTCCACGACTACTTTTCTGGTCTGACATGTCAGCATCATCTCCCACCTGTATTATCACAACAGTATCCGAACTGTTTTCCTGAGTCATCAGAGGAACCTCTCCAATAGAAATTGGCTCAAAACCAAAGCACGTATAATAGGAAATTGTGTGAACTGGAGAAACTGAACCTAAATCTCTAGATCAGCATTCTCCCGTAGAAATATAATGCTAGCCACTATGTAAGTAATTTCATTTATTTTTAAAGATTTATTTTATTTATTTATGCATACAAGAGTTGGGGTGTAAGGATTCACCAGAGGCAGAGTAGGGAGCAAAACAGACAGATCTACTGAAATACACTGCTGAGGGGAGCAGCAGGCGAGACAGGAGAGGTCTGCTGTGCCAAATAGGTTAGCTCCCTGGCTGGGAATAGAACTAGTGCTGCAGTGGCTGCCCATAGCTTCATAGTGCTGAGACTTAACCCCTTGTGCCACCAGGGAGGCCCTATGTAAGGAATTTTAATTTTTCAGTAGTCTCACTAAAAAACATAAAATTTTATTTCAACTTAGTATAAACATGTTATCATTTCAATATGCAATATATTATTAATAAACTATTGCACATTCTTTTTTCATATTAAGTCTTTGATACCCCCTGGGTATTCACACCTACAGTGAAAAGGAAAGCCAGTAAACAAATGAATGCAGTAAAAGTCTCATTAGATAAACATTCCAACCCAGGTGCAATCCAGGTGATGGATTTATGGCTAGTCTTAACAAGAAGGGGGGACAGCAGAGTAAGCCAACTCCTCTTATCTTCTGCTAGCCCCTTTTCTCCTCTCATTTCGCTCATCCTCTCTTTGAATTACCTTGTATACCTAAAAATGTAATCTACCCATGTAATCTATGTTAAAATAACTGAGTATAAAAGGAAACTTTTGTGTATGCTCAGGGCCCAGATTTTTTCCTGGAGAGAATTCTCCTATCTGCTGCCCACTAGCATTATAATAATAAAAACCTGTAACCTGCTTCTTTCTGGAGTGCCATTTGGTCTTTTCCACTCTGGCAAAACAGTTTTTCCATAACAACAGCACATCTCCATTCAGATGAGCCACATTTCAAATGCTTTAGTGACTGAGAGGACTGCCTACTGTTGTATTGGAGAGTGCAGAGCTAGACCCTCCCTTTGTTTCTCTTCTTTCCTTCTGTGTTAAATTTTGCATATTGCTCATCCTTTCCTGAAGAGGTACGCATGGGCTTGCTGTACCCTCAGCATCTTCTGATCTTGACTCAATTATCTCCATCCCACTGAGGCTGCAGAATAAGATCGACTTTCAACTCCTACTCTCCCCACCATACACACAGTGCCTACCTATTTCTTTTATTTTTTCCTTATACTTCTCACCATTCAACAATTACATATTTTATTATATAGCATGCCTAGCTTAATATCCCAACCTCATGGGGCTTGTGTTTTCCTCGCTGCTTATCCTTGGTTATGCATTAGAACAGTATATGACAGATAGTAGGTGCTCAGTAAACACTTGTTGCATAAATACACTTCAGAACACAGAAAATTTTGTACAAACCAGGCAGCAGCATTGGAAGGCATTAACTTTGCTAACTTTTACACATCTTCGAATTTTAGCTCAAACTCCACTTTGTGAAGGAATGATTGCTAATATTGTGCCAGACACTGTGCTAAATGCTTTGCATGCATTCTTTGGTATAATCCTCACACTAAGATAATTACCCATTTTACCTATTTTGTAGAATAAACCCAACCTATTTTGCAGAACCCTAAAGTTAAGTTACCATGAAGAAGTACAGAGCCCAAAAGTCTCTAACCACTGGACTAGAATGGCCTTGTTTGTATGTCTCATTGCACATGTAATTATTTAACATCTATTTTCCCTACCAGAGAGAGGGCAAGGGACTCTACTGCTTGTTTCTCAATATCTAGGCAACAGATATTGTGTATCCATCAACCACTGACAAGTAGAGTCAGCTGACTTTTTTACACACCCAAAATCCTTGTTTGCAGCATTGGATGTTGACTAGATTGTAGGGGTTTGACTTCTGGCTGTCAGGTGCTTTTGGTAAATCACCTTGCCTACCTACCTCTGGCCAGACACTAAGTAGGATTCCAAATTCTACTCATTTCCTTAAGCCTATATCTGTTTTGGTAAAAATTACATTGAAGATTTCTTTTTTCTTTTTTATTGTTTTCAACTAAAAGATGATTTTTAACAATTACTCTTGGCAATAACTTTGGCAGTTACGTTGCTTTCTGATGCATCTCTCAAAATCTTCAAGTAGGGTTTTTTCCTTAATGGGTCCAAACCTCTTACTCTTTAAATATACTAGCTAAAACTTACTATGAAATCAGGTTTGGAAGATTACAAATTATTTTCAGGACAAAAGTGAGGATAAATTTACAATGTCAGACTAGTGATAGGCAGACAATGGAAATCTCTTCTAGTTCTGTTTATCATGTGATCATAAACACATTAATTAATTCACCCTCTTCCTCCCTCCCTATTTATAAAAAAGCATGTAGTAATTCTTTTTTCCTACCCACTTTGCAAAGATGCTGTAAGGGGTTGTGGCCTGCAAAATGCAGAGATGACTGCAGATTAAAGGTACTAACAGTAAAACACAGTAAGAACAATTACCTTATTTATATCCCACAGGACCAGTTTGGTTTTAAGTTTAGCAAATTCGTAGGCGGTCAGCCTCCCAATTCCATGTCCAGCTCCGGTTATCAGGACGATTTCTCCAGTTACTGATTTTCTCTTCTTAGGAATAAAAAGCTTTAGGAGAGACTCTAAGGAGAAGACGAGCAGTAAGGGCAGAAGCAGGATGCAGTCCAGGAAGAATCTCATCCTTTACGTTGCTGCGAGCTTCGGCTGAGCTTTTGGTTTGTTTTCTTTTACCAAGCACTCTAAGTAATTTCTGGAGCGTTGCTAGGTCTCACAGCAGAGAGAATAAAAGCGAGAGCAAGGAAAGTCTCCTTTATCAAAGACAAATAAACAACCCCGAAACCGTTCCTTCCGCTGGGTTGGGCTTGGTTAGGTCTTTTGCAATTGGCTCGGACTGCAACGTGGAGCGACAGCTCGCAGGCTGAAATCTGGGAGGGACAAAGTCCAGAGCGGAGCAAAGCTTCCTAGTTCCCAGTTGCGTAGCCCGCGCTCGCTGCGCTGCCAGAGGTCGTCTGTACCCACTTTTCCTGAGCTCGTAAGCCGACCTTGAAGCATTCGTTGCAGCTTGTTTTCTCAAATTTGATCAGTTTCTCTCAAAGCAGCAAAGTGCCCTCAGTCCAGATGCTTGTTTGAAACTTGGTGGTTGCCCATTATGACTTAAAGGAAGCAAATGTTGTTTTCTGTCTTAAAGAATCCTCACTAGAGGGAAGGATTCTCCCCGCTGAGAAGACGCCACATCACACTCAGTTTGAACTAAGTGCGAATTCTGGAGGGCAGAGGAAATTTTGTCCTTTTAAGGACAGCAATAACAAAGTCCCATTATAATAATCTGTCCCGCTGATCATATTGAACTGGAGTGTTTCCACAAGGAAACAAATACACTCCAAATATGCTCAATAATTTCCAAATGCACTCAATAGTAGAAACGTTTCACTCAACTTATTAGAACTTGTGAAAAAACATATATTACATTTGAGTAATGGTATTGTTGGAGAGCAGCCTCATTTCTCCCTAACAGTATCATTATCCAGGCAAAAAAATAACTGCCTCCAGAACGAATTAAAAAAAAGGAGAAAATCACTGCCTAAAGATTACCTATGCAGTTTTTGGTTTCATAGCCTCTATGTGTAAGTATTCAAAACAGAACTGGTGATTTTTAAAAAATCCTAGAGATTGGTTACGAGGGAGTAAAAAGACTGAACTCTGGGCTTGTATGCAGTAAGAACTTAATAATTGTTACCTGGATATACATTTTTCAATCCAGTTCTTGAAAGTAATTAAACTGTGATTTTTGTGTGTGTGTGTTTCTCTCTCTGTGTGTGTGTGTGTGTGTGTGTGTGTGAGAGAGAGAGAGAGAGAGACACTGTAGCTCTTGGAAAGAGATTTTTGCCATGTAGTTAACTATTGGTTACTCTTTATATATAAAGCAGGAAGATCACAAAACACTGAGGTTCAGAAATAAATCATACCCACTTTTCCCTCTTACACAGCCCTGCACTGTTGTAGGGGATGAAGGGATGGATAGTGACAGTTCTGTAAAAGTAGAACTCTACCTTGGAATTCTTGAAAATTCTGAATACCATTGCAATTTTTTTGGTCTAGTACAATATACAACCATTTGTATAGAAAGTACAGTTTTCAGAGTTTTTCCCACTTTCTCATTTGATTTTCAAAAAACCTCTGGGAAAGTACAAAAAAAAATTTATATCCTTATTTGTAAATGAATAAATCGGATTCCCACGGCAATAAAACATGTAATTGGGGCTAGACACATGGTCAATATTGGTCAAACTGTTAGGGGGAAAAGGATGTCCTAAAGCTAATTCCATACAGGCTTTGTGGACTCCACCCCCACCCCAGGCCAAAGCCAAAGACACTGGGAACTCCAAATCCCATCACCACCAAAGGGAAGGTGGCTGGGACCTGAGGGTGGGGTTAAGCAGCCAGGTTGGTATAAAGCCAGACACGTGGGCTTTGGAGGGGTTCCCCCATTTTGGCTCCCCGCCAGCTCGCAGCATCCGGCCAGCTCTGAGAGTGACTTTGTTTCCAGGTAGGCAGATCGGTTAGAATGCATTAAAGACTTTATTTCCCTGTTTTCTCCCTGGGTTGTACATTTTCCTTATTTCCTTTTCCCTTGTAAATAAACCTTTTATTAACCTTTTGTGTGTGCCTGTAGTGGAGTATTAATAAGTCCCTTTTAAGCACGTGGGTGAGGACCCACAGCCAGGCAATCCGTTCAATATCGGGGCTCCCTATAACAAAACCTCTTTGTCCATTACTTATAGATAGAAGAACTTGTAACATCTGTGGTGACCTGGCATATGTGTGTGTGTTTGTGATACCAAACGCTGGCCTCAGTTTTCCTCAGACAATAAAAGGAAACAGTTTAAAGAGAGGAAAGTATTGTAATTTGTCGGCAAACTGAGGAGGGAAGCAGACTCGTGTCTGAACACCACCATCACGCTCTTTGGCAGAGTACAGGGTTATTTATACAAAGAAGAGGAATGAAAGGGAGATGGCAAGGGTTGGAATGTCATTTCGATGCAGGCATTGGGAGATTTTGGGTGAGCGCCAGCTTGCTTTGTTAACACCTGATGTTTAACTTTCTTATTATCCTCTTAGAGATAACCTTCCTTTTCCTTAGACAGCAAGAAGACAAACTTGTTTAATGCAACAGATAGGAATATTTATCTGATGGGACAAAAGGGGAACCTGCCCTGTTTTATTGCATCATTTCTGTTCAAATATGTTGGCTTTCATTATGTACTGAGACTCTGGCTCTACTATTTCTCATTTCATTGCATTAAAAAAAATTATTAGAAAAATTGGGTAGTGTTGACCCACTCAGTATACCAAGGTCTAGGGAAAGAACCCTAGTGTCTGAAAGCAGTCACCTCTGAATCCCCTATGTGTAATGTGACTTTACTTTGGGATGCAACTAATATCCTACAGGTTTCTTATGAAGTTCAAATGTATTGCCATAAAGCATTGTTGCAGAAATAAATAATAGCCTTTTACCCAGGAGGGGAAGAACAAGTGGTACTTTAGGAATGGTGAGGCAGGAAAGCTTTATTACTCATGCATGAGTTCTCAGACCCAGGTCTGAGCACTGGTCTAGAGACAAAGAGTTTCTTTTACACACAACTACTTTACATTGATAAAGTTGGTTAGTTTGCATACAAGTTCTTGACACAGGAAAAGGGGTAGGATACAGATCTTCCAGGATGGCCTGGGAGATCAATCAGCCTAGCAGGCTGCCAGACCTTGTTTAGATATGCTTATGCTCTATTTACTTTACATTTCCAGGTCTATGACTCTTTCACAGGGAAAGATTTCTTTTTCTTAGCAGTTCCCTTTCAGCATGTTTTGTCAACTCTTCAACTCAATGTGAATTATAATTAACGTTCATAAAATTATAATGGGAATGGTTTTGTGAGTAATAATTAGCTACTGATCTGACACAACGGTAAAACATATGAATCTATGTATTTGTGGTTTTTAAAACTAATTTTCACTGGGAGATTTCAAATGTTTTGTAAATGGGGCATCTTAATTTATGCTGTCTTCCCAGCTGTTGAACTGGGATTAAAAGAAAAAAAGGTAAGAACAAAGAATCCTTTCATTATGTTTTTTTTAGCAATTACTGTGGCCAAAGATTAAACTGAATTTTCTTCATACATAAAGGTTCATTTTCTCCTATCAATAGCCTCAGGTAGTAGGTTCATTACATTCAATTGAGATGTCTATAATATTAGTGAAGAAAGGATTAAGAGAAATTAAGCAGATTGCTTGAGGTAACATTATAAATGACAGCTTTGAATTTAAGCCTACATTATTATCACTATGTAGATTACCTTCCTTGTTAGAACAAAGAAGAAAAGCTAAGCTATTTCTAAATTGATATGAAAATTCAAAGAATTGAAACTCCTACTATCCATAAAACCTCCTGTTAAGAACTCCTAGAGCATTCAGACCACTCCCTCTCATTTTATTTGATAGCTTAAATGCCCAATTAGCAGGAAATAGAGTGCAGTTATTAAAACAATGAGTTTGAATTTCAGCCAAGCCTTTTATTTGCTATATGACAGCTAAATTGATTACTTATCCTCTCCTGAGGTCTCAGTTGCTTCATCTGTAAAATGGATATAACAACATGGTTGAGTGAATAAGATATTTAAAAAGCACAGAGCATGGCATTTTACATGCTAATATACTTAACGAATGATAGCTTTTTCTGTATCTTAACATATTATCAGTCAGAGGTTTACAAGGCTGGCTTTGTAGCATCCCAGTGGCTTTGGAATGAAAGGCCACCATACTCAGCAATTACATAGTCTAGGGAGGAACAATCACTTTTCCTCTTCCTGTTACCTAAAGAATACCCTAAGAAGAAAGGCCAGAGGGCCTCCCCTGGTGGCACAGGTGGTTGAGCGCCACACTGTGAAGCTGTTCCCAGCCTCTATAGCACCGGTTTGATCCCCGGCCCCTGGTAAGGTTCCTACATGGGGTGCAGACCTCTCCTGCTGTAACAGGGTGGTCCCCAGGAAAGGGGTAGGTTCCAAGTTCCCTGCGCTACCCAAATGGAGGGTGGAGCTGAGCAGGGAGAGAAGAAGCTGAAGAAGAGACTGAGAAGGAAGGAAGCATGATGGAGGGCCAGAAGGAGTCCTGGAGGAGGCACATGGAGCTGAGAGACACATGAAGAAACTACACTTGCCTTTTGGTGATGGACTGGTTGATACAGATGTGGGTGAGAGACCCATGGGGAGGTGACATGGAGGTTTTTGTCTTGATTTTGATTTTGCTTTTTTCCTTCCAGACTTGTCTGGTTGTTTCTGATCCTTTTCTGTGAGTCCCCACTGGAAGATGCCTTAGACTTGTGGCAGGCTTTGGGGCCTCGTTCTGGGCCAGTCCCTGTTGGGTGGACTTTTACCCACGAGGGGATGGGTAACTTTGGGTGCTTGATTTAAAAACTATATTTTTTTGTCTTTCCTGTATTTCCTAATTGTATTAAAGTTCCTTCCTATTAAAGTCTCATATGTTTTGTGTTGATTCAGCAGATGGCGGAACCCATTTAGAACAGGCAGGTTTGCGGGGTTTGGGGTGCCCTTCTCCCTGCCCTGTAACAATTTGACACTCTCTGAGTTGACTTCCCCGACTCTAATACAGGCTTACAGTGCCGTTTCTCAATTTATTAACTATGAAACTATCTTTTTTTTTCATTTTGTTAAGTTTAAAACTTTTATACTCTTTATGTCTATTACAGCAATTGCTGAAACTTTTGATTTAACTGTTTTATAAGAGGAAGATATACCCTGTTTTTTGCCTCAGCTGTCCATTTCTACCATCCTGCTTCTATTTTCTGCACATTTACTTTTCCATTTTCAGGTAATATTAGTAATTGCTACCTTTTCTATATTTGGCCTGTTGGTTGATTATGAAAATTGAAAGCCAACAAGTAGCTTTTTTTTTTTTTTAGGTCTAACTGAAAGATCATTTATTTACTAGGAGAAGACTTTTCTTGGCTTGCAATTTTTGTTGTTTTCTTGGGCTCACAACACTCTAAACTCTTCTTTAACAGTGATTATCACAGATTATAATAAAAGGCTTATCACTGTAATTATTTGCCTAATGCCTGCCCCTCTATTAAAATACGTGCTGCAGAGACAGCTCTCCTGCCTACCTGTGACTATACAGGTACCTTTCTCTTTCTTTCTTTTTTTCTTTAATTAAATTTTATTTTTATAT